CTTGAAAAACACTATAAAACGCCTATAGGTAAAGTTCTACAATAATTCACCTATGGCTTTATCACCATTCAAAGTTTATCACATAGTTACAGATGTTTGATAGTGTTTGAATTTTAATTTTTTTTTTACAAATCATAATGATTTGAAATTATTTAGGTATGTGCGCCTTAGTGAGATGCACATGAATAAAATATAAAAGAAATAATTTGAATGATAAAAATTATGTAAAGTACCCCTATAAAGTTTCAGGGGTAATTTCATCATTTTATTTTATGACTATTTTTTTAATATTTTATTTTGGTGCGAATTGGTCATATGTACACACGTCCCAAATTTTAAATAAATTTGATTAGTACAATAATTATAAAAATTTAACTGTGACCGTGTGATGAACTTTGAACGGTGATGAGGTGTAGGTGAAGTCATGTAGAACTTTACCTGTCGGCATTTTGAAGATGCTATGTATATATATATATATATATATATATATATATATATGACTATTATTTTTACAAGACTATTAACTAGAGAAGATAACTAATTAGATTGTTGCAAAGAGAAATTTATAGCTGGATTACCATATTTATTTGCTAAGAAAGTAAAAAATAGATTAAAAAATAAACATAGAGGTATTATACCATAGGAGAACTTTCTGCAGAAATATGTGCCGAAGGATTAGCTCAATGTACAGATATGAAACTAAAAAAACAATTAGATAAACAAAAAATGACTGGTAGAAAAGAACTAAGAGACTTCTGTGAACAATTTGGTTATAATATTGAAAATACAAAAGATAAAAGTTATAGAAAGAAAAAATATAAATATGAAAGAAAAGAAAGAAAACCATATAAAAAACATAAGAGAGAAAAATTCATGAAAAGATTTACACCAAAACAAAAATAAAAAAGGCAAGACAAAATTACTAGTATGTTATAAGTATGGAAAAGTAGGTCATTATAAAAACAACTGTAAAATTAAAAAGAAAATAGATTCATTAATATTAGATGAATCAATCAGACATAAAATATATGATATAATACAAATATATCACGAAGATAGTTCTGAATTAAGTAACTCAAATAGTTCTAGTGAAAATTCATTAATAGGAAATATAGAAGATGAAAACCTCATATGGGAAAGTTCTAATGAATCTGATCAAGAAGTGCAAGATTGCTCTTGCAATATGCTATCTAAAGAAGATACTCTAATCTTAGACCTAATTGATAAAATAACAGATCCAGATGAAAAAAGAGAAATTATCACCCAATTTATAAACATTACCAAAAATAAGAATAAACCTGCTCCTTTGTTAAAAACTCCAGATGAATATTATTTTGCTGAAATTATCAAAATAATAAACGAAAGAGATCTAGTTCAAAAAGAACCAACAATAGGAGAATTACAAAAGGAAATAAATGAAGTTAAATTAGAAATTCAACAATTTAAAAGATAGAATTAGAATATTAGAATTACAAAGTGAAGTTTCAGGAAACATATCTGATACAGATGAAGTAGAATTTGAACAACTAATCAATCAAACAGAAAAACCTGAATCCTCAGGAATAAAATTAGAAGAATTAGATAATAATAAATCAACAAATCTAATAGATAGAATTATTACTCAAAAATGGTTTATATTAACCAAAATCATAATCAATAATGATTACACTTTCCAAATCTTAGCACTAGTAGATTCTAGAGCACATTTAAACTGTATCAATGACGGATTAGTACCCACAAAGTATTTTGATAAAACCAAGCAAAACCTGAATACTGCTGATGGTAGTAGATTATTAATACAATATAAGTTATCCAATGTTATTGCATGCAATAATGCACATTGCTTTCCTATCCCTTGTATAATGGTAAACGGATTAAGCCAAGCAGTCATTCTTGGTGTTCATTTCCTGACTTTATTATATCCAATTATAAGTACTAATAAAGGAATTGAAACAACTAGATCAGGAGAAACAATCATATTTGAATTTGTAGATAAACCAAAATTGAAAGAGATTAATAGAGTAAAAGATAATATAAAACAAAAAGAAAAGTTTATTTGCTCTCTTAAAGAGGAAATAAAGTATAAAACAATAGAAGAAAAATTACAAACCAATGAGGTAAAAGAACAAATAAAAATTCTTACTTAACAAATAGAAAAGAGTATATGTAGTGAAATTCCTAATGCATTTTGGGAAAGGAAAAAACATATAAGAAGTTTACCATATGGTTTTCATGAATCCAAAATACCAACAAAAGCAAGACCTATACAAATGAATACACAATTAGTAGAATTCTGTAAAAAAGAAATAGATGGATTATAAAGAAAAAATTAATTAGACCAAGTACTTCTCATTGGAGTTGTGCTGCTTTTTATATTAATAAAAATGCTGAAAAA